GGCAAATAAGGAACGGAAATACTCATGCTGATGGAATGTACTGATGTAAGAAAGGGCCAAAAATCTGATGTGCTATAAATAAAGAAAATAATAGTTTTTAGCTGAAAATGTGCACTGGTGTTTGTTTATTATTTTAGAGACTTTTGAGATTCCGAAAAGTGGTAATGTTGCAAAATATGTAGGACTACAATCCTTTTTCTAAAAATAGATACTCTCTCTAAATTATCTGATTTGGCATGTAGATAGACAAACATTGACTGGAAAAAATACTCCACTTCTGAAGGAAGGATACTTATATATATATTATAGTGTATTTATAATTCTCTTTTGAAAAGCTAAGCAGAATTTCAGTTCCATGTATTATTTCAGTTGGAGGTATCTAAACTATATAAGTTATCAGTAACACTGACTTTAAAGGTGACTCCCGTCATTAAGAACCTGCCTCTGTGCTTTTATTGGCTTTTAGTGATCAGCCTGGGTAAGGACTAATAATCTTTAGAAGCCGAAGAATTTGTACAGTTTGTGGGAAAGATGTGCAGACAAACTCATCATTAAAAAGAAAAAAAAAAAATTTTCTCTCTGTCTCAGTGGGATCAGTGTATCTCTGTCAGCACAATCTCCATCTGCTGCTTTTCTACAAATGTGACTGTATTTGTTTACCTTCAGGCAAACCAGGCAAAGCATTGTTATGTGGAATAATAAATTCAAGTTTTGAACTCTACAGCATTATATTCTGGTCTAAAGGACAGTACCTGGGGCAGTGAGACCTCTTTGATTGTAAAATTGATTACATACAGAGACTCGGGAAAATGGTGTAGTGGCTGTAGCTGTCACTGGATGGACTCTTGTTTGGAATATTTGCTTTTGGTGGGAATGAAAATAAGGGACATGTTGCTCTGAAAGCCTTGCTGAGTATGTTACTTGGGAAGTCTGTGCACTCGAGGTTTGAAGCTGGAAAAGAGAGGAAGGGAAGCACGAATGGGTGCAAGATCTACAACTCCGCTGAGGCTTTAGCTGGGCTCCCCTGGTGTTAAGGAAAGGGAGGTCTCACAATGGAGTGGCTGAGCAATCGCACTGTCCTTGGGTCCAGCTGGGCCTGTGTTCTCTTTTGTCAGTCTTCCTTTTGTGTTGGTTTAATAACCAGTTGCATTGTTAATGTGCAACGACTGGTTGTTTTTTATAAGACACTTTTTTGTTTCTTTTAAACTAGAAAGATGAAAACTACAGAAGCCTACCACGAGATACTAGTAGCTGGTCTAACCAGTTTCAGAGAGACAATGCTCGTTCATCGTTAAGTGCCAGTCATCCCATGGTGGACAAGTGGCTGGAGAGGCAAGAACAGGTAATATATATGTGTATATATATATTACTTTATCAATCTAATCTTTATGCTACTCCAAGCTATTACAAAGAAGTGTATTCTTATGTGATACAGGCTCTCTAAGCATGATAGAAGCACCAGCAGTCTACTGACTAAATATATATCTGGAATTCCTCTTGCTTCCAAAAATCCTGCCTTAAGATTGAAATGCACACCTGCAAATTATTTAATTTTTGAGTCAAAAGCACATTTATATAATATGAGGAGTGCTGCTGTTCCTCACAACTGATACCAACATGGTTATTTTAATGAATATTATTTTGGTAAGCATTTAGCCATTGCAATCTAATCATGTTCTTACAGAGTAGACATATGTTAGTTTTGACACTGCACTTTTAAATGCTTGTTATTTTAAACAACAAAAATATACATTAACTATAAATTTGAAGACTGTTATCATATTTATTTAGTGTACATTTATACTGCTTTTGATCTTGGGCTTTTTTGAGACAGTAAGTAATTCCAAGTTGTGGTTTGTTTGGTGGTGGGTGGTTTTTTTTGTTGTTGTTGTTTTTTTTGGTTGTTGTTGGTTTTTTTTTGTTTGGTTGGTTGGGTTTTTTTTGTTTGTTTGGTTTTTTTTGTTTTGTTTTGTTTTTGTTTTTGTTTTTTTTTTTTTTTTT